CAGGAACACTCTGCTGCAATCGATTCCCAGAGCACTTTGTGCCTATCTTAAATAGCAACAAAAATTACTATGGAGAATATTGTACTCCTGCCTTTCTTTCATAAGGAAGTGTAATTGCAAAGCCTGGACTTGGACATTTACATTTGAATTGGTTGGTTAATAAATAGCATCTTTTTGGTAAAGAATGTGCCCCATAACTTTCCTGTTGTCCCACCAATAAATATTATTCACTAAAAGACAAAATATTTTGCATCTCCACTGAAAATAATAAGAAAAAAATGGATGGTAACTACTCTTACAGGCACAGTATTCAATTTCATATTGTGTTCTCCTTATTCGCCACAAACTGAGCTGTCTAAATTTAACTGGTTTATTTAAGAATTTCTATACTGCCCAGAATAAATGTTAGGAGTTTTAGAATTCATCTCTACAGACAAAGATCCAAAAATTACCTTAAGCATCTCAAATTTCCAAATTTTCTATGAAATTGGAAACAAGCTAAGGTGGTTCAAAGGATTGTGTTAATAGTCCAGTTGCCTATATAGAAGATCTCCTGATTTTAGCTATGCCTGCATAGCGAATTAAAGGTAATTTAAATGGCCACGCCGCCACTTCTGTTTTGTTACCCATCAGATGCTTGTGGTAATTTGAGCACAACTTGGACACAACTACTGCTATTTCACATACCACACTAAACCCTTGGACTGTGGATTCAAAAGCTGGATTGTTTGTAGCCCATTTGCTGTAGTTATGGTATCATACAGGATGAAGAAGTAAGAGGTAACTATCGGCTAAAACAGTATGGAAAACTTACAGATAGGGAAACTTCTTTTGTATGGGGCAAATTCCCAAGCTTGATCTCCTAAGGTCCATATACCAGCAGTAAGTGAAATAGAAGGGTTGAGTCACCCCTTTCTATTACTCTCTTTCTTATTTTGACACTATCGCCTTTCTCACCTCTGTCCCACTCAGCAAGCTGTTGGAGACAGAACACAGTGGCTTGAGAACTAAAAATGAAGTAAGTTTATGTGATACAGTGATAATAGATTACCCTTTGTTATTTCAATACCAAACTTTGTTTTGTGCTCCTTATTTTTAATAAATATATATCTTCTGAAACTGTTCATAAAAGCAGCAAATCAAGGACCCTACCCATTCAGATCCTCATATTATTAAATTTGCACATATTGTTACCACAACAGTACCTATCTTTACTGTAAGGAACAAAAAAACACTGATACCTTTTGGGAGTTTATTTCTGAAGAATAAGAAACATGAGGCCAATTTTACAGAGAGTAGTTAAGAAACATGGAAATATTCCATAGAGTGTATCTGAATCAGTGGTTTTTTTTTTCCTCTAGAAGACTATTCTGAGCTTTTGTGATCATTTTCCCCCTCCTTTTGTTCCCCACTAATTCAAAGGCTTTCTCATTTCCCATAGTGCCAGACAGAACTAGGAACCTTTGCCTAAGGATGCTTTATTTCATGCTTGAGTTTTACATCAATTTGTGATTATATCATTGTATAATGCAAAGGTAAAACATGCTAGAAGGTATACTCTAGTTCTCTTTCATATTTACATGATTCCTATTTGACAAAATAACTCCAGAGAGGTTCAAATATTGCTTTTACTATGAAGTAGGAATACAAAATAGCAAAATAAAAATAGATTCTGCATATCTATAATATGTGAAAAGAGCTGGGGCTTTAAAGTCTACTAGAATATAGATTGTGAAATATAATATTCTTTTCCCCATGACATAGGATGTGAGATGTTGCAATATATGAACAACATGATGTTCTGATTAATGTATTTGTATTCTGCACCTTACAACTTGTGCTGTTTTGCAGCATTATCCTTGGATTAATGAATCTGTTCTAGGGAGGATAGAATAAATAACGAGAATTTTTTTTTTCCTATGTCTTTTTACAGGTTTAGAAAACTGGTCTATTTACAGGTTTTTCCTTTAAAATGCAGGAAAGCAGTCCCAAGCAGGGAGATCTGTAGGGGAAAACAGCTAAACTTCCATGGTTGACTTAATCCTTTATGATTATTAGAGGCACTCTGTTGTGGTGTTTCTATTCCTCCCTGTACTGGGGTTGGTGAAAGAAGTCTCAATGAATATACCAGTGTATGCTGCCCCAGGATTCAGGCTTCTCTCCTAAGCCTGAATCCTCTTCTTAAGAGAGATCATTAATTGCTATGGGATCAGTATGCAGATGATACCAAGCTTTACATCCACATACCGGGTCTTATAGCAGATGCTGTAGAAGTCTTGATCTAGTGGCTGAAATTGTGAGGGACTGGATAGGATAGAACAGGTTTTGGATGAATCCCAACAAGGCAAAGTTGGTGTTCATGGAAAAGCCTTCCAGTTCCAGGATGGCTTCATCTTTAACTCTTGCTGGGATGCCACAACCCCTGAAGGACCTGTGGATCCTCTTGGACTTGCAGCTCCTGTTGGATCACTAGGTGGAAGCTGTAGCCAGGAAATCCTTTGCCCAGCTTCAGATGGCGCATGAGTTGCAGTTTCTCCTATCTTATAATTCATGTCCTCATCTATTATTTGGATTACCGCAATTCATTCTAGATGGTGCTGCCCTGAAGGCTATTTGGAAGTTGCAGCTAACCCAACATGCCTCCATGAAGAATCTGTATTCTAGAGTAACACCAATTTTGCTGCACAGTTGCCAGTTGGTTTTTGTTTCCAATTCAAAGTGTTGGTTGTTACTCAAAAAGCCTATTAGGGCTTGGGTCCTTATCAGCTTCAAGCCATCTGCTCTAGGTAATATCTATCCATCCAGTATGTTCTGGCTGGGAAGGTATGCTGTGGATCCCCCCCACCTTTGCCCCCCCACGAGAGCCTGTCACAGACTATTTTCTCTGGAGTAGCCTGCCCCCAAGGTCAGGTTGGCCCCTTCCTATGACTGTTTCCCAAAATGTGTTAAACAGTGCTCTTCCAAAGCACTGCAGGGGATGTCACTTGACTGGAAGCAGCTGCTATGTGGGGATTGGTTGTTTAGGGTTAAGATATTTTAGGTCACTGTGGCTGCTTTTAATTTTTATTTTATTGTGCCCGTGAGAGACGTAGAATCTATAATGAATTGGGCAGGATTCATGGAAGAAGGTAGGCTCCCTTGAGTTAAGCTCAGCTTGTGGTGCTTATATGTCCATGTTCTTGGAAGCAATTTTATTCCAGGTTGTTATTTTTGGTTCCCAGTCTAGACTACAACCTGGAATTTCCTGGTGCATTCCAAGTGTCAAGTCCAACTCTGCATATATTTTTTCAAGATCACTATGGTGAGATTGGTGCTTCTGCTTGCTGAAGGCTGTATCTTTATTAGGGCCAATCAATTACACAAAATAATGTGCAACTGTGAAGTTCTGCTTGTCTTGCTTTTCCTCTAGAAGCTCAATGTGGTGGCTGTCAAGTGGTAATTCTCCTAGGAGGAAAAAATGTTATGATGTACTGGGAACTCTGTTATGTGGCTCAGCTGCTGGCCCTAACAAGGCAATCCAAACATCTTTTTTTATTCCACCAACAGAATGCCTCACCTGCTGGCAGTTACATACCTATTGTAATACTATATATATAATCCAACATATCTTTTTTCCTCTCTTGGGATATTTTCCTTGAAATGTGCAATGTTAACCAGCATTTTTTGTTACATTAAAAGTATTTTTCATAGTTCTGCATCTCACAGGGAGAGTTTGTTCTCTATGGGAGAGATTTTTCTCTTTCTTCTCTATGATGGACTTGGGAAGCCTGGGAAAGAGGATGGCAGATTTGCAAAATATTACACTTTCTAAACATCTGCACATTTCTCCTTTATCCAGAAACTGGGGAACTACCTCCCCACTGCATGAACAGGTGGTTAGCCAAAGGATCAAGGAAATCTCCACCCTAAGATAAATGGGGTGTTAAAGTAAACATATCAGATTGCCAAATTCTGTAATCTAAACCCTTTTTTCCCCTAGTTAATAAGGCAGTGAGAATCTAGCTTTTTTGGTGGTAAGCAGCTGCTTGGAGTTGACACCATCTTATAGTTTCTGCATTCAGCTTCAGCCTTTTATCTCCATTTCAAACAAGAACAGCATCTTGCCTTCCTCACACCCCATAGACGCTGAAGGTCATTCATTCAAACGCAACAAGAAAGGCAGAGAGGACAAGGGGACAGAGAGGACAGAGGGAACCATCAAGTTTGCAGCCCCTCAGGAGAGTCTCTCAGTTCAAGTTTGTTGCTGTGCCACTGCATCACCATAACAGCAGCCACTCAGAGTGGCTTCTGTATGCAGATATACTGTTATATCATTCTATCCACTCCTCATAGTATTGTTTTTCAATAGTTTTGTATTCCTTTTTTGTTTTTGCAGAGAAAGGTTGACAAATTTAAGGAGGATGAGGGGGAGATGCAAGCAAATTATTATATTTCACTTTTGTATAGGAAGGAATTTTTGTTCATTCAGACTCTTCGCAGGAGTGGGTGCAGGGTATCCTCAGGATGTGGTAAAAATAAAGTCAAGATGGCAGTCATGATGGTGTGATGCACATTAAAAAGGAAGGAGCTTTGGTGCACCATCAGAGGCATCATTTTGACTATTTTTTACTATACTGTGGACACCCGAGTGCGTGTGATCATTGTGGATACAATCAAAGGAGACTCAGCTCTTGGCTAGCTGAGGCAGCCTGGGATAATATTGATTGAATGACATTCTGTACAAACTTTGGATTTACCAAAATATATACACATCTGTGATTATAGCGCTATAAATGTCAGCATATATCCAAAAAAGATTAAAGTAAAAACCTCAGGTGTATTCTGAATTTATTTATAATGTGTACTTTGAAGACTTGGGAAAAGGATGGACAGCTAATCCAGAAAATCTGAACTTGTCTCTGCTATTAGCACTGGACTATAGCAATGTTAATAGCTAAATGCACTAAAATTATCTTTCTCTCTTTCTCTCTCTCTCTCTCTCTCTTTCTCTCTCTTTTTAGCAATTGAAACTCAGAGCACCAGTTCTGAGGAGCTTGTTCCCAGCCCGCCTTCCCCGCTTCCTCCCCCTCGTGTTTACAAGCCCTGTTTTGTTTGTCAGGACAAATCTTCTGGATATCACTATGGTGTCAGTGCTTGTGAGGGGTGTAAGGTGAGTGTCCAAACATCTCAGTTAAATGTTGCTGTTTGCATTCCTTTCACTGCACAAAAGCCTAATAACAGGATTACACTCAAAATACACATTCATACTGAGACAATGGCAGGGATTGGAGACAGGGAAAACGTCCAGTCTACAATAGTGAATTATATTGACAAAAGGGTGGGAACTCTAGCCTAGTTGAGTAAATTATATACATTGGGCATTTTGAAATAGCCTGGGAGGAGGGAGTGTGGTGTTATGGGACTCTATATTTATACCATGCATGACAACAAACAAAACTAACCACAGAGAAGGCTGTTTCTTGTTCTGAATGTGTGCTGGGCAGTTGAAAAAGACACTTGGAGCAGATGGGCTTTGTGTGTAGATAGACTCCTTTAGAATATATTGACAGTTACATCTTTGCCTTTTATCCTTTACATTATGTAGTTAACAACACTACTTGAAGGAGTATATTCTTCATAGCTGAATACTTACTAGTTCTTGCTAGTCATCAAATTTTATATTGCTTTTCCTTAAGGACCTATACTTCCATCCTGCTTATATAGTGAATCACTTCACTGGAATAATTAGTTAAGTTGTTGCAGACCCAGTGTTGTTGAAATTATGCAGACCCAGAGGCTCCATTAGGTTTTAATTTGTGCTTTACACAGAATTTGGCAGGGCACATGAATAAATCCACAACTCGAAGTATTGTAGCAGCTGAAAAAGAAACATTGAACATACCATAATGCAACCATAGTGGCTTAAAGTTGCTCAAAAAATATTTTGAAAGTTACACATGAAGGAAACTGATACCAAAGAATTTTGCTTTTATTTTTTCAAATGTGTTGCTTTTATAATATTGCTTTTTCACTTTATTAATAGTTATTTTGATATTAAATTGTATCTGTGTGCAGGCATATCTGCTTGTGTGTATGCTGATCAACAGTTGTTTTTCACAGTTGATCTTAGCACCCACATGGACTGAATGATTACATTTATTGACTAAAAAAGTATAGTCCTGATATGGATTTTACAATATACAATTATTTTAGTGAACAGAAAGCTATAATCTTACTGAGCATTTCCTTGAGTAATTGATTATTTCAATATTTTTCAAACTATTGGAGGTGTGCATTGGAGTTGGTTGGTGACTCACTGGATCTCAGGATGGACCTGAGTATTGTGTAATATATTTTCACTGATCCCGAGTAAAGGAGGCAGGTCTGAATTAGCTCTGTTCTGACTCTACAATATTCCATTCCCAGTCTGTTTTTCCAGACCTCCATTATGCTGTGAAGGTTAGTGTCAATGTAGCATCACTAGAACATCACTTATAAAAAATAAAGTGAAGAAGGTGGCAGGGCTATTGAATTTAGTGATCAGCAGATCTGCCTTCAAATTAAAGTAACCCTTGCCTTGAAGTCAAGCCATCCTCGGTCATCACAACCAGTGTATTGTGGAGTGAATTGATTTGAAGAGTGTGAATGATCCTTACTATTCATTCTGTTTTGTTGCCTCATTTGCTCAATGGATTGAGACAATATTTTGTGCTGTTTTACCTCCATAAAGTGATCTAGAGACCCGATTAATTTTATAGAAGAAAAACCCAGTGAGTTAATCCTTTATCATTCTTTCCAATAACTTAATCAGCTGTGTAATATTAAGAAGGGGACAGCGTATTTCCTTTTTCATTCAATATTCTTGAGATATCTGGCAGCATTTTGGCAAGGGTTTTCCCCAGTGCAGGGGTTACTGCTGCTACAAACTTAATCACATTTGTCCTGAAACAGTGAAGTTATAGGTACTTTTTTTTTTAAAATCATATTTAAAGGAGCAGAGCTTGAAACCTCCTGTACTTGTTACTATGAAACCAAACATGGTTTATTCCCATATAATGTCTATAACTTTCATCCCATTCCACTGAAAAACAGAAAAGCTAAATAACAGGAGAATGGAGGTCTAGATTTGCAAATTTAATTCTGGATCTGGGCATTGTCAGACAGACCTCCGAAACAAATCCATATTGGCTTGGGCCATCTTCAGGGCTTCATATTTAGTAGTTTTTGTACAGCTCAAGAGCTTTTGTTGCTTAAGATGAAAGACAAATTATTTTATTTTTTTAATTTTTATTATTAAATTTGTATGCCATCCATCTCCCCCCAACGGGTGACTCTTATTACCCCCTTCATATTCTTTTTATAGAAAGCAATAGGATTTGCACTAGAATTCCTGAATAGGTCTGGAGGTAACATTGTCTCCTACCACTTCTGACGTCAACAAAGAAACTTTCATGTTTCCATCACTTAGATTCCACAAACTCTCCCACAGCAATTATTTTACCCCAACTAATTCTACAGTAGGTCTGGTATTGATGAGTGATCTATTTTCTTGGTTTATATATCTTTAGATGCTTAATAGTTGAATTCTGAATGTACCTGCTCTAAATATCCAGTAGAACATACTCATATAACAAACATTCTAATCTCAGGCATAAGCATGTTATTTCTATCATTTATTTATTTGGATTCATCTTGAGTTCCTGTCTATCCTTTTCCATTGCTTAGTCTGAGGATGATGAATCTTCATCTGGCAAACCAAATTCAACCTAATAGGCCTCCCTATCCAGCTTGCAGAGTCGCTGAGAGTCGGACAGCCTCCAAGTTTAATAAATTATTATGGTTGGTCACACAGGCAGCCAAATGTTTAGACTGATTTGGCATTTTTATCCACCTGTCAAGTCCTTCCCAAGGACCTGGGATAGGCTGATGTTGTTTGATGGTTTGATGGTATTAAAGGTATCATTGCAGGATATAAGCTGTTCCAAGTAAAGCTGCCTTTTGCAATTGACTGGTGGTGATTTTGTCAATGCCAATGGTCTTCAGGTGGTGCTCCAGATGTTTTGGGAATTTACCTAAAGTGCCTATAACTATTGGTGCTATCTTTGCTTTCTTTTGCCATAGTCGTTCTACTTCTATTTGCTGGTCTTTATATGTTGTAATTTTCTCCAGTTCTTTCTCTTCTATTCTGCTGTCTCCAGGTATTGCAGTGTCCAGTATCCAAACTTTTTTGACTTTCTTATCAACAGTTGTTAAGTCTGGGGTGTTATGTGGCAGGTGCTTCTCTGTTAGAATTCTCAAGTCCCAGAGCATTTTAGCTTCTTCGTTTTCTATTACTTTGTCTGTTTTGTGGTCCCACCAGTTCTTGCTTGCAGGCAAGTGGTAGT